GGCCACAGCATCCACAGCTCCCGCACAAGGTAGGGATAGCGCAGGAGAATGTCCCTGCTGTGCTGCCGAGCCCTCCGGTGCTCCCAGGGATCACCGCGACAGGGGTTTTGCTCCCGCATGGCTGAGGCTTCACCTGGTGTAGCATTGCACGTCCAGCAGCTTTCCTGTCTTCTGTAGAAATACCCATTTTCTGAATTTTACCAGGCAGAACTGAGCACGAGGTAGTCCGTAGCTTCAGAAAAGCTGTGGTAACATCAGCAGTCTCTTCCAGCAGGCAGCAGCGCTCTGGTAGCAAATTTCTGCCCCTGAAAAAAATAAGTTTTATTTTCTTAGTGGTCTTTCGTAGCTCTCCTAGGGGTCAATCCGCTGGTTGCCCAAGCAGGCTGAAAAACAGCGCTTCACCCTTGCAAGGCTTTTGCAGACCAAGCGCGTTAATACCGGAGTGCTTCCTGCTGGAGTAGGACACTGCTCATTTTCAGTTCGTTTTCTTGGTCATACGTTCAGTAACCCAGTGTCAGGCTCTGGAAAGAAAGACCACAGTCTTCCCTGAGGCTTTCAAGCTTCTAAGTAGTGACTGATCTGAAGCGAAAAAAAAATAAAAGGAAAAAAAGAAGGAAAAAAAAAAGGAAAAAAAAAAAAAAAGAAAAAAAAGGGAAAAAAAGGAAAGAAAAAATAAATCCAACTATTGATTAATAAGCATAAAATAAAACACCCTGCTTATGTTTTTTTTTACCTTTAGTGAAGGTTTTAACATGCTACATGGGAGTCTTCTTTTACCAAGGATGTAAACAGCTGGATGGAAATAGCATAGCACAAAGTAAAGAAAGTAACAAGCCTGAGAGAGTACATTTTGCTAACTTATTTTAGGAAGGTATTTGCATTGAAGTAGGCACAAGGTTTTCCAACAGAAACGCCTATATCCATGATGTCCTCAGGATCCTTTGAACCGGACCAGTTCCCGCTTATCTCAAAGAGCCAGCACCACTACGCGTGTGATATATTTCAGGCATAAGCTTGCTTGGGCTAGGTGCCTTTTTTTTTTTTTAAAGCTCTGAGAAGCATAAAGGATGCTCCGTAAATGATTAGTTGATTTACTTATATGCATTTATAAGCAAAAATAATGAAAAATATGGATACAGTAATACGCTTATTTAATTGTTCCTCAATTGCAAGAGCGTTTGGATTTGTATTCCTATTGCACTAAAATGCAACACAGGACCACAAGAACAGCTGGAGTGCCTCAGGCTAGAGATCCGTCTAGTGAAATATGTGTCTCCAGCAGTAATTGTCTGGGGACACGTGTAGGAGCTTCAGCAGAAAAAAATCAATAGACCAACTACACTGTAAGTCTTTATGTTAGGAGCCATCCCGTTACAATAGCGCGAATTCAGAAAAGTGTGATGGAGGTTCAGCCCTTAACACCGTGGTCCTTTTCAGTAACGTGGACGTGTTAAAGAACAGCTCTGTGGCGAATGGAGCTGCCGTGTGCTTCCACAAAAACACCTCTTCTTACTCTGACTTTGGTTTTCATACCACACACATGGCGTTACAGACGTTGCCGAGGGGAATCTTTGGTGTGCCTGATGTTATTAGATGGTTGTTACACCACTCTTAGTTGTTTACGTTTTTCTCAGCAAGCTCATCTTGTGGTTTAGCTGAAGACTTTATCGGTTACCTTTCAATCCAATGACTAACAATCAGACTTGATGCTACTTCCGTTTTCATGGTTTTCCAACATTTTAATGCCTGTGGCAGGGCAGTTGGAACTAGATGATCTTTCAGGTCCCTTCCAACGCAAACCATTCTATGATTCTATGACTATTTCTGTATCTCATTTGTACTGGCTAGAAGAACCTGCAAAATCAGCCACGTAAAACTTAGTTTACTGGAAGGTTGAAAAGTTAACTTGCTCCTTAACTATGGCATGTGTTATTTTATCTTATAGCTGTTGTGGTCCTGGCCTTTGTCATTTGCTGGTTGCCTTTCCACGTTGGCAGGATCATATTTATAAACACCCAGGACACCAGGATGATGCTGTTCTCCCAGTACTTTAATATATTCGCTCTGCAGCTTTTCTACCTGAGCGCATCCATCAACCCTATCCTCTACAACCTCATTTCGAAGAAGTACAGGGCAGCAGCCCACAACCTGCTGTTGCCGCAGCGAGCTGCAGGAAGGGCTTTCACGGTGACGAGAGGCACTGGTGGCTATGTGGAGACCAGCGCTAGCACAAGGCACAAGAACGCCACCAGCTTCTGAGACTGCAGCCCGCGCTTTTCCAGGCCTTCTCTGCAAAAGAAGGGAACTTCCTTTTCACAGGAGGGTCGCAGAAGGACGGACGTTTGTCAGGGTGTGTCGTGTTTTGTAACCATTTGTATTTTGAAATACTTGTTTTTGTTAGTGGAGCAAGCAGGGACCGTGAAGTAGTGAGAATGATGTGCAACCTGGGAAAGGTAACTCAACAGGAAAAGATGGAGTAAAGTACCAGTAAAACCATGGTTTCAATTGATTATATGTTGTTCATGGCATACGTGTTCTGTGCAATTTCTAGTGTTTTCTAAAAATCATAACATCAAGGACCACAAAGGAGGAGGGAGTTTGAGGCAGCAGCTCTGCTTGAGTGCAGTAATGGGTGAAACTCCCAGACGGCCTTTGCCATGTAAAAATGGTTTTCTTATAAATGAGATTTTACAAAACACAGTCTTGCAAGGAGACGGACGCAAAAGAAAGCGCCCACCACCCTGAACATCTTTGGAAGAAGGGGCCATATATTTTTAGTACCTGGTCTTGTAATCATGAAGGGGAGTTTCCCAGACAGTGTCACTGACTCTTCCTTTGGGAAACCATCTCTGCACGGTAGCGTCCGGGCTTAACCCTTTTGGTATGACCCATGCAACCAAATATAAGGTCTCTTAATTATACACTAGCAATCAATCCCCTCTATCTGTAAGAGTTTAGATATTCCAGGTCACTTCCTCATGGTCACTTCCTCATCACAGACCCGTGGTGTTTGGTTACCGTTAGCCGTACGTCTCCGCTGCGTGCATGTGAATAACACGCTGAATTAACCTGCCTCATGACAAACGAGACGCGTCACCAAACGTGTGGGACTTCGCCCGGGACTTTACTGCCACATAACGCTGCGCTGCAAGTCAAAAGCCAACTCACTCATTCTGCTCCAGAGATCTGAAATACAAACGTTAACTATATGATGCAGGAAGGAGCGCTTGTTGGGAGGAAGAGCTAGAAGGAGCTGCAGTACGGGTTTCTCCGGAGGGCTGTCTCACCTGTACATTTTGCCTGTTACTTTCCTGGCTACAGTGATATGAATCTGGACCACCATCAATGAGGTGGGACTGCGCTTACAGGAGCATCAGCGGTGGCTATGTCTGCGCTTGCGCTCGGTTATCTGTTAACCTTTGTTAATTAACGTGTCTGCGGATCAAAAAAGTAGCGGTGGTGGTTGCTGCGTGCAGGAGGAGTTTACTGCAATGGTGTTTGCTGCCACGCGAAGGCAGAATTCAACATCCAGCTCAAGGATCTCAAGGCGGCAGAGTTGGACCTAAGCCTTCTCCAGGTTTTAAAAATCTGACCAGTTCTCCATTTAACAATCCATATTTCTGAGTCACTGAATAAAAATAAAATTTAAAGACAGAAGAAAAACCTCTAGCTCACTGCACACACATTAAGCTTTCTTCTTCCGTTTGCTTTGTACTAAGGGAGAACAGTTGTCTGCACTTGTGCTGGGAGATCCTGGCTAAATTCCCACAAAAGCAATCCCATAGGTACCACAAGCACGAGGTGTGAGTGGGAGGAGGGAGGAAAATGCCCCAGAGAGATGCTGTACTGACTCCCCCCCACTTTTCCGGAGTGTGCTGCCTCCCACAGAGAGCCCTGGCACCCCTCCGCTGTCCAAGCAGGCTGGGTGTCCAGGGCAGGGCCCCATGGGGGTCCCTGGTGGCTGGGACCCCATCTCACTGCTCATAAGCTGCTCGGGGGGAAAACTCTTTCTGTGGGGAGCTTCAGGCTTGGGCTGCTCCTGCTCAGCCTCAGACACCGCAGCGAAAGGCTTCTGCTCCCGGTTTCCTCAGCATTAACCAGGCCTGGCACTGTTGTCTCTGGCGGTTGGTACTGGATTGTGTAAGGAGGGATGTTGTAGGTTAAAAAATAGCGCTGTCTTACTTATTGCCAGGAACGCTGTGTCCAGGTGCAGGTCTATTTTTAAAAGAAATATTTCAGAAGTAGTTTCCATACAGGCTATAGAACGTAAGGGAAAATGGACTAGAGGTGCAGGGCAACTTTGCCAGGCAGAGAGAAAGAAAGAATGATGATAAGTTTCAAAACACAAAGAAGATGAGGGGACGTAAAAGAAAAGCACAAAGAATGGATAACGAAAAGAAAGCACGTCGAGGTACTCTGGGTTTTAAGAGAACACTTAGTTACGCTGAAATGCACAGGACGGAAAATTAGTGATTAGACACAGCCCACGACTGCCCCCAGAGACTTATTAGAGTGTTACTGTTCTTAGGAAGACATTAAACCAAAATTAACCACCTGAAGTTTGAAAGGGATCTAAAACGGTTCGTTCTTAAGCACGGGAACAGGTTTCTCTGAACAGAGCAGAAAGAACGTCCTCCCCTGGACTGTAGCCTACAGCGGCAGCTCGGCCCCCAGCACAGGGTGGTGTGGGCGGGATGCTCGACAGGTCCCTCCGGCTTCGGTGCCACACAGTCGACCTCTCCTGTGACTGCTTAATAAATTCATTGGTTCCTGCTTTTAAGCCAGTGGTTTGTCACGTCTGTTAGGCTGTCCCTCTGTTTAGGCGGGCCTAAACAAAGCTGCTGAAGTTTTTGGGGAGACACAATGGCGTATCCTGTTAACTTCAGTTAGGTTTGCCCGCGGTGAGAGCCACCTTCGTCCTCACGGTAGTCAAGTCTTCTTGTGCTCACGATCCCAGCGCATCAGAAACGGGGAAAGCAGCAACCACTGCAACAGGCAACGCCAGAAAGTCACTCCCCGACACTCTTCCTATTTTGTATCTAATTTCCATCTTCATTAAACAGCTTTATGTCACATATGTAACTCCACAATAAATTTGGGGTGTGATATGCCCTGGCTGTAACGTCTTCATTTGCATTTGCAGCGTGATAACACTGTGTCACCATTTCACTGAACACAAATCTAAATTAAATAGGTATTAGACTATCTGAGTTAGACAGTAGCTTTTTGAAATCGATTCTAAAAATTGCAATTCCTATGCTAAAATAAACGTGGAAAACTAGTTGTTTCTTACTGTAAGAACCAATATTTCTCTCCTCAATTTAATCAGACAGCCTGACCTGCATGTGTTGATGTTCGTAAGGGAGCCAAAGCGCTCTTCACTCCTAATAAGTGGATGCTCTTTTTCTGGATTGGAAACAAATGGTTCTTCTGGTCCTTGTGGAACATCTGCATTTGTTTTTTTCACCAGTTGTTATACAATTTACAAAGATTTTTACAGTGCTTTATTACAAAAAGACAAACCAATCCTATTTTCCTTTCCCCTGTCTCTTTGGAAATCACATGGACCAAGCAAACAAGATTTCTTCCAAGGGCATCTCGTGCAAGGAACTGAAACCATTAAACATCAGTTGCCAAATGCCGCCATTCCAAAAAGTAATTGCCAGAAACTGGATAGAGGCACCAACTTTTCAGGGTCCTTCCAGGGAAAAAACACGATGCTGCACTGAGCTCGGGTGTTGTGGTTTAGGCAGCAACTAAGCACCACACAGCTGCTCACTCACTCCTCAGTGGGAGTGACTCACTCCTCCTCCCCTCGGTGGGATGAAGAGGAGAAAATATAATAAAAGGCTGAGGATCGAGACTAGGACAGGGAGGGATCACCCAGTAAATATGGTCACGGGCAAAACAGACTCAGGGAAAAAAATCAATTTAATTAATTACCAGTCACATTGGAGAGGATAACAAGAAACAAAGCCAGATCTTAAAAACACCTTCCCCACCCCTCCTTTCTTCCCAGCTCGGCCTACTCCCCAAGCGGTGTGGGGGGACATGGAACGGGGGTTGCAGGTCAGTTTGTCACACCTTGTTTCTGCTGCTCCTTTCTCCTCAGGACTCCTCACACTCTTCCCCTGCTCCAACATGGGCTCCCTTCCCATGGGAGACAATTCTCCATGAACTTCTCTGACATAAGTCCTTCCTGCAGGATGCAATCCTTACCCATAAGACTGCCCATCAGATTGCTCCTGTGCAGTCTTTCCCACATAGTCACAGCTTCTTAGGGTGCAGCCACCCACTCTGACGTGGAGTCCCTTCTCATGGACTTCAGATGCATCTCTGCTTCATTGTCAGTCTCCAGCAGTGGGGGGGTCCTACCCGTGGAGACAATTCTCTACAAGCTCCCTTAGGCACAGGCATCTCTGCTCCAGCATGGGGTTCTCCACGGGCTGCAGGTGGATCTCTGCTCCACCGCTAATCTCCACGGGTGGCAGGGAGCTGCTGCTGTCTCACCATGGACTGCAGGGGAATCTCAGCTCCGGCACACCTCCTCCTATTCCATCTTCACTGTCCTTGGGGTCTGCATGGCCGTTTCTCTCAGATCTCCCCCCTCTCTCCGCTGCAGCCACACTGGGCTCAACCAGCCCAACGACCCTCAGCAGTCCCAGCAGGATGAACTCTGCCCAGCCGGTGTCCTGGGAGCAGGGCGCTTTGGAGCTCTCCAGGCTGTGCCGCCGTGGCAATCTCCAGCTGACTGGCAGTGGCACAGTGCACGCAGTCGCCTGCCCAGGAGGCCGGGTGGGGGCAGCCCCCCCACCTCCTCACTCTCTTCACTGCAGGTCCCACATGGGGCAGGTTTTTTTGTCCCCTTTTAAATATGTTATTCGCAGAGGTGCCGATTGGCTCGACCTTGGCCAGAGGTGAGTCTGACTTGGAGCTGGGAAGCGTCTCACAGCTCCTTACAGGGGCTGTCCCTGTAGCCCTTCCCCTCTGCCAAAACCCCACCACACAAACTCAGCACACGGGGGCACCAGCAAAGAGCCACTCGGGGATGTGCACAGTGGCCCTGGTGCATCCCACAGGAATTCCCTGCTTGCTGCTGGGGTTTTGGTATCAGGGCAGGGTGAGGGGGATGTCACCTCCTTCCCCAGCCTCCATGTGTCACCTGCCCTCTCCATACGGCAGACTCTCCTCTCAACTGATGCTGGCCTGGGTCTGCAAATAAAAAAGGGGGTATTGTGTGTTTTTCTCTTTAATGTATC